AAATATGTTTGGATGTGACCCTTAAAATCCAAAGCTTTACACTGTTTTAGAACCACAGAGGACCTTATATCACAGAGTTCAGCTTCCTTGGCTTATAGACAAGGGTGTTAGGCACAGAGCTTAGGCACAACTAACATGTACAGTGCTCCACATTCCGCTTGATGGGGGGCGTGGCAGAAGCACGCGGGGCAGCGTGAGAAAGGCTGTGCCTCATGTCTGCTGAGTCTGGACTTTATCATAGACAAGTCAGGGACATGAAATGATCAGATCTGTGTTTCAGAAAAAAACTAATCAGGTATCATAACAAGCATACAAATAAGTACCCTTGGCCTTCAAGCTTGCAAGTTAGTAATGGAGATGGAAACATAAGGACTATGAGATTTTAAAAGTTACAAGAATGATAAAAATAATTATTTGCATTATTTACAATAGCCAAGATATAGAAACAGCCTAAGTGTTCATCGTTGGATGAATGGATAAATAAATTGTGGTGTGTGTGTGTGTGTGTGTGTGTGTGTGTGTGTGTGTGTATTTACTGGAATATTCTATAAAAATGAATGAAATCTTGCCATTTGCGACAACATGGATGGACCTCAAGGGCATTATGCTACGTGAAATAAGTTCAAAAAAGACAAACACTGTGTGATCTCACTTATATGTGGAAACTAAAGACAGGCGAACCAAGCTCATGGATACAGAGGGCAGATTGGGGGTGAAGGGGAAGTGGGAGAAATGAGTAGTCAAAGGTAAAAACAAAACAAAAGCAAGGAACCAAGAAAGCACAGTGAAAGTTGTGCAGTATTAAATATGGAATGATTTTTTAAAGTTATAAGAAGGATAAAAATAATACAAGTGGGTATTCAGAAACTGGAGAAATCTTATATGACTGAGTGGAACCAGGAAAAATATTCATAAAAGAGATTGTCACACTTGAACTGGGCCTTGAATCCTGAGGAGGAGTCAGCATGTAGAGAAGGGCGGGCAAGGACCATTAAGGGGGAAGAACCACCATGAGCAAAAACCTCAGCAGGTCCGCAAGACGCAGTGGGTGTGAAAGGCCGTGGACTTCACGGCTTAGAAGCTGTGCTGAGGACAGTACAAGGAGACCCTGTGTCCAAGTTAAATAGTGTGAGCTTCATTCAATAGAGATGCTACGCTGTGATCAGAGATGTGATTCAAGATGGCTGATCTGTAAATAATGTCTAGGATGCATTCCTTGGGAGACGGAAGCCTGGGTCAACATCAGTGATTCAGGTAAAGATGAAGTCCTGAGTGGGGGTTGTGACAGTGAGTCTCACAGTAGGAAGCGCATGAGGGAGGCAGCACAGAGGGAGAATCTACAGGGCCCAGCAGGTCTCTCTCAGAGCCAGGGACCTTGAGAGTGCCCAAGACGATGTGGTGGTCTCCAGCTCATAACTCAAAGGATAGCAGTTCCTACAACAGGAATGGGGATGGCGAGAGGAAGCACTCTTTGGAAAGAAAAGAGTTTCTTAAAACTTGGATACAGTGACTTTATGATTCAGATAAAACTCTCACTTAGAAAGACCCAGAAGATAGTTGGCAGTGCTGGGCCAGAAGCTTTGGAATAAACATGGAGGGAAGTTTCTCACATACAGACAAAAGTGAAGTCATAAAAGGAAATGATCTTGCCACAGACGAAAATACCTAGGAATCTGTAAAATGTGAAGAAAAGAGAAGAATCTTGAGGAATAATTGTATTTGAAGAAAAAAAAATCGAAAAAGCCACTAGTGATGGAACCAGAGGAGCCATAGAAATAGGTGAGAAAACAGGTTGTTTTGGAGACCTAAAAAATAACAACATGTGTAGCAAGAATCAGGAAAAGTAAATGCAGCAGAGAGGCCAGCCAGGAAGGACCAATCATTTGAAACGCCATTGCAAGACATTGCAGTGTTTATGGTTTGTAATGGGTTCAAATCCTAGGTCAGTTTTCATAATTATCATGGGGCTTATGTCTTTAACCTCTGTAGTAACTTCACCATCCTTATTTGAATAAAAATTAGAATAAAATATAAACCTTGTATGATAATTCGGAGAACAAAACAAAGTAATGTGTATGTAACATCTAACACAGTCCCTGGTAAGTAGAGATGCTTAATAGACTTTAGTTTTGTTTCCTTCCTTTCTTAATCTCACTATTGAACTACAGGTCAATCACACATTTCATTTATCCTATAAAAAGGGATGAATGAATGAATGAATGAATAAATAAATAAATAGGCAATACCTAATTAACTGGGTCACTCCCTTGTTCCTGAATTGGATGTTTTATTGCCAACATTGCCTGTGTACATTGATTGCAATAAGTATATAATTTTCATTATCTTGCCTGCACTAATTTTATTTTTAATATTAGTTGGTTTGCCTTTTCTCTTTTACCCAACTATTCATTTATTTCCAGCTTTATCGAGGTATAATTGACAAATAAAACTGTCAGTTATATTTAAAGCATACGTCATACAACATGATGAATTGCTATATGTATATATATACGTATACATTGTGAAATGATCACCACGTTCAAGTTAACACATCCGTCACCTCACATAGTTACCTTTTGTGTGTGGGGGGGGCATCAGATCTACTCTCTTAGAAAATTTCAAGTATGAAATTCAGCATTATTAGCTATAGTCATGGTGCTGTACATTACATCCCTGGAACTTATTAATCAGATAACTGGAAGTTTATCTCCTTTGACCACCAATGATTCATTTGTTCTCTCCTTAAGCTAATACTTGTTCCCCTAACCCTATATTTAGATCATAGATCCCAGTTACCAGAAGTGGGAGGAACATTAAAGACCAGCCACGGGTAACCTGACCCACTCAATTTGGAGAAGAAGAAACTTGATACCCACACAGATTAGGTAATGTGTCCAAGGTCACAAGGCCAGGACTAGAATCCGGGCTCTTTGCATGCTACCGCACACCCTCCCTGTTTAGCATCAAATAGGATAAGAACTTGCTTCCCCATAACGGCCTCAAGTGCCTTCCTCTTCTCTGATAGGCTTCTATTGTTGCTCTGTGTTTCCGTTGCTGAGTATTATTTTTATAGTATAAAATAAGGACTGAACTAGGTATGAATCCAGACTCCTCCCAGATCCTACGGTGTAGCTCTCATCTTCATGGTCCCAGATGACCTCTGGAGCGCCAGCTGTCATCTCCATGACCCATGCAGTAAAATGGAAGGAAAGAGAAAGAAGGTGAGTCCCCTCGCTTGAAAGAAGGCTTGCAAGAACTCTCATATAAAATGTCTTCTGTCACTCATAAGCCAGCACTTGGTCCCATGGCTAAGGAAGCTGGAAAATGACTATTCCTGGAGAAAACTGTAAAATGAAAACCAGGTTTGTGAGGTGGGGCGAATTGATGTTGGAAGATAATAAGCATCCTCCGCCACACTGCCTCATGGGGCTAGTGTGATGGTAAAAGAAGGTAATTTCCCTAAATCCTTTAGCCCAGGATTGACACACAGAAAGAGCTCAGTATGTGTTGGCTGTTACTATTCTAATACGGTGTGCCTCGTTATATATCACCACCTCTGTTTCTTAATTCAGTGGTTTAATTCAGTGGTTCTCAGAGTGAGCACACTTTAGAAGTTCTAGCAACTGCTTCTGTCAAATGGAAAACAATACAATGATGTTTTGTTTTTCCCAGCATGACAAGAGATGAGGAAATGAGTACATTCTATTCTGGGTGCCTTCAGACTTGGGTACCTACCAACTGGCTTGAAAGCAGTGGAGAGAGTTGCTTCAAGGATGCCGACTCCTGCCAATTTTGCAATAAAATCCATGCAGTGAATTCATCAAAAACATTGAAAGTTCTTGACCCAGTAATTTCACTTCTGGGAATCAATTAGAAGGAAATAATTTCAATATATAAAATAGCTTTATGTACACAGATATCCTCTGCCAGGCTATTTATAATACTGCAAAAAGAAATTGGAAATATCCCAAGTATCCAACAATAAAGAAACGTTTAGGCAAATATTGGTAGAATGTTATGCAGACACTAAAATGCTATTTATGGAAAAATACATGCTATAATGTTCAGTGGTAAAATACAAAATTATATATACAGTATTAACCCAATTGTAAAAGCACACCTAGAAAATTACTTTGGAGAACATATGTCCATAAAAAGATTTGGGAATAGGAGTGACAACTAGTCCCAGCCTTGGGACTATGGATTTATTTTTAACTATGTAAAGACTTTTCATGCTACAATATTTCCAGAATCTCATGTAAACGTTCTCTTTGGTACAGGTGTTTACTTTTTTAACGGGGAATATGGATCCTTTGAGTATGTGGAATTGAGTCATTTAACTCAATATACATACATTTTACCTACATTTTGACAAATCTCTGAAGAAGAGTTCTGATTTGCAAAGTGGAACACACATGCAGGTATTTAGAGTTACAATGTTTTGTTTTGTTTTGTTTTGTTTTGTAGACAAGAGTTTGATTTTAGAATAATTTTAGTTTTACAGAAAAATTACAAAAGGTAGTACAGCAAGTTCCCGAATTATCCAATACTCTCCAGACCCAGCCTCTCCTGTTGGCAACATCTTACATTACTGTGGTACATTTATCACAACTAATGAGCCAATATTGATACATTATTATAAACAAAACTCCGTTTTTTTATTCAGATTTAATTTTCCTAATATATTTTTCCTGTCCTAGGACCCCATCTAAGATAACACGTTACATTTAGTTGCTGTGTCTCCTTAGGCCACTCTGGATGGTGACAGTTTCTCAGACTTTCCTTGTTTTTGATGGCATTGACAATTTTGAGGAGGATTGAGATATTTGTAGAATGTTCTTCCTTTCACACCTGTATGATGTTTGTCTCATGGGTAGACTAGAATTATGAGTATTTAGGAGGAAAACCACGGAGGCTGTATACAATTCTCAGTACAACAGGACCATGTATGAAAAACCTGTTTCTAGTTTTCTGTATGTTTAAAAGCAGGTATTATGAACATGTGCCACGTTGACAATGGGAACCGAAATAAATTTTATTTAAAAGAAGGAGTGGGGGTGAGAGATGTGAGGAGCAGGGAGGTGGAGGGGGAGGAAGAGGAGGAGGAGTTGTTTAAAGGTAAAGGAGTGAAAAACAACTAGGCCAGGTGCCCGCAGGACATGTTCCTTTTCCTCCTGACCACTCTCCCCTCGGCATTGCAAACCGGAGTTCAGAAAGCAATAGAATACGTCTGAAGGGAATATTCTTTGGTTGTATTTTGTTTGGTGGCAGCTGAGACCTGCACGTGCTGGACGTTGTCTGTTCAGTGGAATGGTGTGGACACTGGAAGTTTGAAAATCACTACTAATGAATGAAAGCATTTTGTTTTCTGAAAATGGTCATATTATCAACATATCATCAGTAAGATAAGCACAGGGTCCGTTCCAGATGCTCTAGGGCATTCTTTGAGATTACACAACCTCAAATCTGAAAGTGATACTCAGATATGATAGTGAATATTTAAAATAAGAAAAGAAGTCACAAAAATTATGATTTTAAAAGCTTGCAAATACCAAAAACATTACAAAATCTAGAGACTTGACATTTTCATCAATTGATACACTTTTCTAATATTGTTTTTCCGTCATTTTTCATTACATGCTCTTTAATGCCTCTTCATTTTCATAGTATCTTTTTTTGTAGAAAGAAAATATGAAAATAATTCAGTGTTTCCTCCAGCAGGGTAAGAATTATTTTTATTATTTGGAAAACTTTCAGCTTCACATCTCATTAGTAATATATATATTTTTAGGCTTGCCGTCAAATTTGTGCAAGCCGCTGTCATTGAAGTTTATCTTGTATATAAGCTCTGAGATCTCAGGCAGGCCAAGTCTTCCTGTAAGTGACTAATCTTAAATACTCTTTCTATTGATGATACTTACAGTATGTTGTCACCATCTCTTTTGTAGCAGCATATTATGAGTTCTGTGGCATCTTTGTGAAAGTCAGTTTTTATGTCAAATTATTAAGAAATTTAAACATGGGAATTACAGTAAATTCTATTTCATGCAATTCTCATTAAAAAAATAAAAAAAATTATGGTACAAGTAAAATTGTATATGATGTGTTGTAGAACTTCCATTTTGAGTAGGCATCAATAACAGCCAAATTCTCTACTTACAACTTGATGCATCTGATTATTGAAATTTCCATCTTAGGATTCTAATTAGGGCTGTGAAATGGCGTCAACAGGCATGGGTTTTTACAAAGATGTCTGTTTTCTAGGCCCTAACATACTATAAGGAATGGAAATAAATCTTGATAATAGAATAAAATATTAGCTAGTTCTAGATTTATTGAAAATTTGTTGAAATAGTGATTTTCAAAGATTAAAAAAAATTTTTCCCTTTTCAACCTGGAAAAAAAACAAAAACAAAAGAAATTTCCATAGGCTGTCTTCTGGCTTCATACATTTCAAACCTTATTTATCCATCACTTCAAATGCCAGTTACCCCTGGGCATGTTTTTATTTTGATGAGACTTTTGGCTTGTTTGCACCTTTGTGATAGAAACCGGTTAGTCAGCAACAGTCTTATTGGAAGCCATCCCTACACCTGGATGACTAACAATAACATAGCTCTACCTGGAAGTTACTGCAAATCATGTAAATACATCCAACTCATCCTGTGGCTAGTCGTGCCTCTAACGTCCGTGGGGCCTGGGGCAAGAGCACAAGTGGAGGACTGCAATTCATATGTACAATATTTAAGTTATAAATCAAGCAAAAATAAAGTTAAATAAAATATATTCCATCTTCCTACCTTAAAACATATTTCTTCATAACAGCAACGGGTTTTTTAAAATACAGATAAGACTATGGTTTTTATATGACAAAGTCGGTTAAATAGCAAAGACAGCTGAATCTAATTATTATATCATATGTCTTGGTGTTCTGTTAATGGGTTAAGGAATGTTTGTAAAAGTAATCAGAGTCAAACACAATTCATACATTCCTATATACGTGTTCCACATCATTTTTTTCTTGCCTTCACTTCAGCAAAAATCACTAATTAAGCTATTACAATCAAGATTTTTCACAGTATATGTGTTATATTATATGACAGTAGTGATCTAATTGATTAATAAATTTAAATGTGAAATAAAATAATTTTTGTATATATTTTCAAAAGTATTTTCTTCAAAATACTCAAAACTATAACCCAGTGGAAAATTCTAAATTATAATAAATATCAAAGTAATAAAAATAATTTATTTACATTTTACTAAATTTTATTTAAATTCTTAATAAAAAGGTAACTTCACAGCTCTAGTGTTCAGTCTAGTTGCCACAGTAAAAAATTATGTATGTTGCATTAGAACAACTTATAATACAAATTTAAAAATAATATGTATTATTTAATATTAGAAAACGTTCCTCACCCACTATGTGCAACTTTTGCAATACTGTGCTAATGTATGAGTACCTCTGAAATCCCTAATGGAATAAGTGAAACAATAAAATGAATACTGGGCATTACTAGGAAATGATGCTTCCTTATGCACATATCTGTTGCATTCACACTACCGGAAAGGAAAGATTTGTCAAGTACATTAATTCACCTTTTTAAAAAATCTAAGCATTTCCACCACTCAGACCCTCCCTATACCCCAAAGTAGCTCACCTCTTTGGCATCGTTAATGACACAACCCACAGAGATCCATAGCATTCAGAATGAGTCATTTTTTATTTTGAGGACACAGGGCAATAAATGTGAAGTGTTTACCTGGGCCTGAGCCATGCTGGTCACGGGAGTGTGTGTGTTGAGATTTACCCACTGTGCCATGCCAGCACTGAGCACCAGATCTGGGCACTCATGGATGTGTCAGTAAGCTGATTAGGTGTGATGTGTGTTTCTTTACCTGAGTCCTCTAAAGGGCTAGAAAGCCTCATGCCTGGGCCCGAGTATGTTACTGTTTAAACCCAAACTAAATGTGATTTGATCACCTTGAATAGACAGGATAGTTCCCCACCCACAATTTTCTTTGTGTGTCAAGGCAAATGATGTCACATACACACTGAGAGGATGTGAAAGGTTTCTCACTTACATCATGAGTCTTTCTGGGGAGAGCAGGGCAGGCTCCCATGCTGGCCTAAAAATGGCTGGAGAGAGGAGAAAAGGATGCTGGCTTGGGGTGCACATGGGGGTTAGGAAGTGCGGCTGGAGCGAGGGTTCCCACACATGGCGGGGAGGGGTTGCATGTTTTGAACTTCCCTTCTGTTCCAACCAGGGAGCAGCCAGGCTTTCTGATCAGTTTGCCCAGATGTGGAGTCGAAAAGAGAGGCAAGGGCGAGGCTTAAAAGCTGTCAGCAGTCAGACATCACAAAATGGAGTCAGACCCTGTATCACAAAATGTTTCCCTAGATCTCCCTTAGCTGGATCCCAGAAAAATGCACAGCCGCTCCAGCAGCAGCTGCATAAGGGGAAGGTGATGGCAGGGGAGCCAGAGCGCAAAGGGACTTAGAGCCTTGGGCAATTGTAGCTAAAATATCTTTAGCAAGGTGAAACATTGCTAAGAGCCCTTCCAAGGCCTTGAAAATGCCTGTGCTAGTGAGGAGCCTTGAAACTCACAGTAAATCCTTTTACGGATGAGCATTTGCATTGTATTAAATGTGTTCGGCTGGATTTACACTTACCTGTTTGTGCCCTGGTTTTCCTTGTGACGAGTGGAAGCAGATGACAGAACTTCTAACCAGGGTCAGGAATGCTGTTGCTCACGAGACAAGAGCCTCGTAGGAACCAGTTTCATCCACCGGGAAACAAATCAGCAGCCTCCCTGTGCTCTCTCACCTGGAAGTCACCTTCTGGTTACCTCTACTTGGGCATACTTTTCTTCTTCCTCTTCCTGAAATCGCCACCCAGCAATCATCCCTTTCCTCACCTATAAATAACTCCTTCATCATGCTTCCTAATGAGTCTGTTTCCTGTGGCTCTGTCTCCCTGTGGTGCATTTCTACTGGGGCCGCCAATCCTTCATAATTGCACAGGTGTTCACACCCCGTCTTCCTCATTGTCACCATACTCCCACGGAAGACCTGCCCACTGTGGACCCTCCCTTCCAGTCCTGCCTTTCTCCTGGGCTTGTTTGCACAAGGAGCCCAGACTGTCTCAGTGACATTCGCTGAGTACCACTCCACACATAACAGGAGACAGGGTTGGACCTAGGAAAAGGATCATTATGAGTATAGCTTCCATTTATTGACTGTTTACCATGAGCCTCATGCTGCGATAAGCTAAAGAGTCCTGCCTGGGTGTCCAACTCTGAGGTCCAGGCTCCAATTCACCAAGCTGTTCCTTCTGTGAGAGCCTGTTTCTAGAAGTTCGGCCTTTTCAGACTGTGTTGAAGTCCCACATGGGATTTGCCAATTCTAGACATAGGTATAAATCCTCCCAACTTCCCCTTGCAGTTGCCTCTTTGATGGTGATGTTTTTCTCTATTATATCATTCAGATTTCTTCGCCGAATGTGGAAGAATTAAAATTAATTTTTCAAAGTATAGTTTTAACATACCACATTCTAGTATGGTAAATTACTATTATGAAAAGTGTGCTACTTGGAAATTTCAAGTAGCCTTGAGTAACTTGTAATTATAATGAATTGTGTTGAAGCTATGTGTGTTTTTACTGTGTATAATTTAGCAAGTATGTGATGACTACCTAATTATACTCTGTAGTTCACAAAGTAATTGTTTACAACAATATTTCCTTGGTAGATATTTCACCAGTCTCTGGAATCCAAGATGCAGGGAGAATGGTCATTCCCAGGGCTTTATTGTTGACAAAGTGGTATCGCCATATACTAGACCTTCCTGGAACTTACCACTGCATTTCCCCACCAAGCTAATTGCCTCTTCATGATCTGATTTTACCTCCCTCTTGGGGGATCTGGCAACACTTTAAATGCATTCACTATATAATATGAGGTGCAGGGATGTTCTTGAATATAAAGACGACAGCACAAAATCCCATTCTCCTCCGTTGTCATCCCAGGTCTGGACCTGTCATTTTCTCTTTTTCTCCATTTCCTAGACCTTTCCTCATGTCCACCTTTCCTTGAGTTATTTTGAAAGCATATACACAG